TACAGAAATCAGTTTGAACTGAAGAAACAATCTTCTTTTTATCAATGCTTTAATATAGACATCGGCGTTGCGAAAGCGCACGTACCTTTTACCTAGAAAGTTGTGCGGTAAATTTGATTTATTTCCTTTTCTTATCTATTTGAGTGCTCAGTCGCAATCTAAGATTTGTTAGAAGGATTGTATATCTTACGGCAACAAATCATAATTTTGTATTCTTAAAAGGTTTTAACCGAAACTTTGAATTTGAGTCTTATCTTCTTTAATTTTGAATCTAAAAGTTTTGAGGAATGGTCTTTACTTTCACGTTATAAATGATAATTTAATCAAATCACTTTATTACTATCATAGATAATAATCATAAAAATAGTCAACCGTCTTTTATTAAAAACCAATTATAACTAAATGTGTGAGCAGCTTAATGGCGAAATTTAGCTATAACAGCTATTCTCACACTTATCCATTTATTGCATAAAAATATTAGATGGGAGAAAAGTACAGCTGTACTACATAAATAATTTGAAAGGAGGAAAGTACGCAAGAAACTGATCACGACCTAAACAAATCTTAGTAAAAAAATATAGTGCTGGACAATAACACCTTTAAAAAGCATCTTTAAGCAGAAGACCTTTTAAACGCTGTCTAAAACTGTAGAGATGCAGGCTTTTTGTATTATAATCTAAGCTATTGCACGCATTATTTGGGAAGGACCATTTAAAAAGGGATGAACTATGAAGGGGGGTTTCAAAGCTGTCATCTTTGACCAACCTATTAAAGGGTAATGCTCGGAAACATGGTCAAATTTTCTTAAACTAAATATGAAACGTATGCAGTTATTTTGTACAACAGATATTCTCTTACGATTCACAAGCAAGGATTGCAATAATTGAAAATAGATAAAACAAAAGATTTACATAACTTTTCACACACATTTTTCACAAATTAAGCAAAATGCTTGCATATTGTACCGTTAATAGATACTTGCGTTCGTTTTTTTGCCATTTTAGTTTATTCCTGTTTATTGACAGTAACTGAGTAATTCACATCGCAACATATTTGTACATTATATGATCTATGTCCTGCTATTCGTGATTACACCCAGTACGATTGGAATATTTTCTTCAGAGAAAAAAAACGTACGCCGATGTATTGGCTTGCCACTTTGGTAAGCAATGGTAGGCAAATAAGTCAAAAGTATTCATTAAGAAATACAACTTTGGCAACAAACATCGTAACCATAATTGCTTGGCTTCTTCCAGTTCGTGGACGGGAGGATCAACCTGATGTCTCTTTATTGATTTAAATACTCGCTGAGTTCAAAGCCTCCTAATTTCCCTACATTACTCAAGGAACGGCAGGAGCCTACCCGTTTTGGTCCTTATGTTTATATAAACACATTCCGTAGCGAACATCAAATTAATAATAGTTAACAAAGGTAAATAAGGAGGCTTCAGATCAAAAGGGTCGCAATCTTTGTTATTATTTGATAACTCTGCTAGAAGGGGAGCCGACTGCAAATAGTTTGTTATATCGGATAGCGAGAGGGTATTTCTTGCATATTCCGATGTCAAAATGCAAACTTGCCGCGGTGGAATTCCATAGAGGTATAGACCTTCATCGAGCACCGAAATAAAACTTCCGAAAGTTATTACTCTATCCTTACACCAGCAAATGACATGGACTTGCTAGTGGAAAACGTAACCAGAGAAAACTTGCCGGACTTTTATCAACCGCTCCGACAACCAAATGAAACCACATACAGTGGTCTCCCAAACTTCTTTTTCGAACTGGTCGAGTTAGCAAGCGGAGATTCGGGGTAATTAATTAAGGCACGAAAACACGAAAAACATATTTTAGGGTAAAGGTGGCAGTTGAAAATTTCAAGATGGCGGCTGGGCGCACTTTTGGATTATTCTTTTATATGGAATGGGGGGTCGTGTAATTACTATTTTGAAGCTCCTTCTGATATAAATAAAAAGTAAAAATAAATCTAATACGCTCTACTTGCTTTTTTTCAGCATTTTTTAATGATTTATCTCTATCAGCTGTAGCACAACAAAATGAATCCTTGAGGAACCTTTATAAACGTAACTCTTAGGGCCGGTTTCAGCAACATTAATATTATGGACCAATGGGAAAATACCTTATCGAAATGCAATTTGACAGAAGCTGTCAAAGGTCTCAGAATAACAGTGATTTCTATTAAAATATTGAATAAAATCGTGAAAATTCGACTGTATTATAAACAAGACCACTTCTTGATTCCAACATGATGCTTTTGTACAGAAAAAACAGGTCAACTTTCATGTATTTTGATTTGTGTTATAAATTTACATTTAACAATCAGTTATCCCCAAAAGCCAATGGGAATGCGGCAAGTAGTAGGTCGATTTTCTAACTGTTAAATCTGGCAGCAGATTTGGGCGTTTGTTAATGCATGGCAATCTCGAATTTAACAATATACTGTTATCATTACATACCTGTTGAATAGCGTGAATTTGTCTGTATTTTGCAAGAAAATAGAATATAAAATACATTCCATCCAATTCTTCATCTTCCTTTACGTCATAATAGTAATCATTTATTAATTTATGGGTTAATGAATTTCTTCAAAGCAATAAAAACATTATATCCTCTCCATCCTAAAACACAGATAATATGCGTAAGACGTGTCAATCCCTACATCTCCGTGATGCATAATGCAGTTACTATGGACATAGACAAAAAATTATGAAAAATGTCTCACAAATAATGTCTTTTGAGTCCAAAAATCATAAAAACTATTAATGTTTATTCACTGGTAGGAATACAAACATAGTACTTATGATAGTTGGAGCTAGACTGATAACACTTCTTGAAGAATATTTGAAAAATGTGAACACCGTCATGGTCTGTTGTCAAATTGCAAATGAAGTATCTGAAAATTCTTACATACAGTGAACCTCCGTCATAGTTTACTATCCTGATTATGATCATTTCTAGCAGATGTGTTGTATCATCAAATTGATGAACAAATATAAGAAAGCTCTTATACACCTACATACAGAGGATTTTTCATGTAAATTTACTAGGTATCATGATTATAAGCAACTTTGGTGGATTGTTCGGTCCGGAATGGAAATAATTTTAAATTTTCATTTGCATTTTTTCAAGTGTTGTGCAATGATTTTGGGAAAAATGTCACGAATAGTCTTATAAAGCATAGTAGGGTATATTTCAACAGTTGGCGGAACTTACTCCACTGGGACCAGGAGGGTGAAACGGGATATTACTGCACAATCTGGCAACCCTGTCGCACCCTCACAAAATGGCCGCTGACAACCACACAAGTCACCGTGTTGTCATTGAATAGCATGGAATTAAACCTTCAGACTATATGTTTTGTGACTGGTACCAAGAGTTGACAGATCCCACACATGTGTCACTCCTTGGAATGCAATAATCAGCTGTATTCAAATAATGTCTAATATAAATATAACATAGAATGTGTACTCGTGAAAAAATAAAAATATGGCAAATTTGTAGTTTTTTTCCAGGTTTTAGGTTTGCTGGTAGCTTTAAGGCATATATTTGGGAATTTTTTAATCGCTGTGAATATAGTGTGGAGTTCCTGAACAACGAAAAATATTCAACTTTATGGATGTATGGATATCAAAAAACCTGAATGGTTTTGTGGGAATAACAATCTAAGGTGCCATAATGGTTCTGATGAACGGGAAGTAAATGAATGAATGGAAACGAGCAATATCTTTTGGTAGAGCCTGTCATCAAGTAGGTGCTTAATGGCTACCTGCAAGAGGTTTATAGGAAAAAACACCCAGTATCGCATTTCAATTGAAGAAAATAATATAAACATAAATAAAAAACAACAATAGTAAATAAAACATGAATTTTATTCAAAAATCCAACATCTCTTTAAATTTTGACTGAATTATATGTAATTTCTTAATATTCAATAAGCTGGTGATGTTTCAATGTCAAGCTGTCATCTCATACTGTGACGGTATTTTATTTTCAACACTTCATAGCCATTGGTTGCTAGAATTTGTTGATTGGAACTTGAAGCTCATTCGTTGTATTTGGCGGTCTGTTACCCTACAGGTGGAGAATAACGGTTGTTGGTGAAATTGGCCCTTAGTAACTGTTACAAAATCTTGTTTAAGTAATTGCAAATTTTCAGTCTCAGCTTTTGTCAAAGGATTTTCAACAACAACTTCGCCGTCTATTGAAATTATACAAGTTTCGGGTTTCAAATTACTAGAGGATTAAACGGAAAACCCTCCTACGTGTGCCCTTTTTTGCCGACAAAGTCAATGAATTCGGAGCTTCTTCGCCAACATGGGGTGAATGCCTAAGGACCAATCAATAATTCATACTTTCTCCGCAGGCTATTTAGCCGGTGTTGAATATCAATCCCAAAGTACTACAGAGATATTTTATCTGAGATACTTGTAGATAGAGGGTGATCAATAAAATTAACAGAGTAAACCTGTATTCGTTTCATAGTAAATATTCTATTAGAAATATTGAAAAAAAAAATTGAATCAATGTATAAAGACATTGGCAAAAAGGAGAGCATATAAATTTTAGTATTTTTACTTCCCACGCCAATTGGCAAGGAAGTATTATTGCATTCATGAAAAATTTTAAAAATCAGATGTTTCTCAGATATATACATAAACATCATGAACCATGTCACTCATTTCCGTCGGTCTGTCCTCCTTTGCCGCAGATTCTTGGCCTCTCTATATCGTGGAAAGGTTTTTGAAATTTTGACACAAAAAAAGATAATATGAGGCTATAAATACTGCATTTTTGGTATCAGGGAAAGACGTTCTCTTATTGAAAAGTTTTAGACGCCGTAAATTCTTCGCATATTAAAACGCTAGTGAGTTCAAATCATGCCATTTGATTGAATGTTCACCGAGATAGATTAACACGTATTGAGTTTAGATTCGCTCGTACTACTGCCCGATGACACCAGTAAGTCAGGCAGCAGCGGTGGCCGCATTAGTAGACTCTTCGGTCTCCTGATCAATCGCCGTGCGCTGTGCGGGTTCGAGTCCCGTCCCAGGAGAAATTTTTCTCTTCGCTATGGATGTTGTGATTGTCCGTAGGTGGCAGACGGCGCACGTTAAACTCTCACGACCTCAGCAATAAATACTGGCAGAAAAAACAATCACCCCCCCTTTGTGAAGCATTTAGGAATTCCAGACTGGAGATAGACAATTTATCTAACTTCCAATCATCCCGGAATTCCCAAGAATTTTTCATTTCGCTTGAGAAACACAATTTAAGAAAACTGTCTTAGAGAACTGCTGAATCCGTATCCAGAATTCGTTAACATCTATACTGACGCTTCTAAGGACAGCAAAGGAATAGGTTGTGCCTTTATAGTACAACCCAGTGGACATTCATCAAAACTCAAATTGAACAGTCTTACATCTATATTCATAGCTGAAGCCATTGCTATTCTCAAAGCCTTGGAATACCTAGATTCCAAGGTAATTATCAAAGGGATTATAATTTCAGACAGTTTGTCAGTCTTGCAAAGTATACCTAATTCAGTCGACATAAATAACCGTTATATTAACCCATACATATGGAAAATAAAGCAGTTCCTTCATAAACTAAATGCCAAAAACTACAAAATAAAGTTGGTATAGGTAAAGCCCATGTCGGAATTAAGCTTAATGAGAGGGCTGATAGATTGGACAAGGAAAGCATTACTTCTGGGGAAACCTTGGACCACCTTTTCCCCATAGATGAATAGATATATTCATTTGCAAAAAAAAACAAACGAGAACTGATTGGGAAACAATATGGGAGAAATATAAGAACTCAAGAATAAATAGATATGTATTAATACAACCCGAAATCCCTAGATCAACCTGGTTTAGTAATTAGAAATACAACAGAAAAACCTTAATGACACTGACAAGGATCAGATTTGGACACGCATGTTACCCAGAGCATCTAAATCGGATTGGCGTACTGGACACTGACCTATGCACAAGATGTAATGAAATTGGAAATCTCGACCACCTATTCTTCGGTTGTCAGAACAATAGGAATCAATCTCTGCGACTAATGAACAGAGTAACGGACTTAAATGTACCGACTCCTTTTAACCTCATACATCTATTATGCTTAAATAGAAAGGAGATTTACGACAGCCTGGCTGAATGTATCCATTCGATCAATGTAAACCTATAATCACCTCACATACCCTTGTTGCCTCCCTATTTGTTATATCCCTCCTCTTACCGTGGTCTACCTGTGCACGTGTAAGAAGTCGCCTTGACCGACCCCTGAGGCGTGAAGAAGTGTCCTCTGTGAAGATCCCTAGCATCATCCCACTATAACAGTAGACTTCCAGTTTGGAAAAACATGAATCCAAAATCAAACCGATGATCCATCATTCATTTAATGCCTAGTGACTGGCTGCATGAACACCTAGTTCTAATGCAAAAAAAAGGTGGTAGACGGTCTCTGACTGTCGAACGCGGAGGTACCACCCGGCGGATCTCGTAGGCGGAGCCAGAATGTGTGCATGTTGCATGCATACGTGTGCCCTCGCTAGAGTCCGTGCGGCATTCCCCCTTTCCCATGTATCCCCCTATAGCCCCACGGTACCCAATGGGTGCTTAGGCCTTAGGCCTTCGTGGTAGTTGGAGTATAAAAAAAAAAGTAAACATCTCGGCGGAAAAAGTAGGCGCATACCTTCGCAGAAGCCATGTTCTCACCGAAGTCATAGGCGTGCGGTGTAAGTTTTGAAAAAGAAAGAAAAAATCCGTTGTCGGCGTTAGGAATATTTGAGACATCGCTTTTGTCCTTTTGTATCATAAGTGATGGTTGCTTAACGCCCTGAAATGGCATGTAGCATAAAATTTTTGATCTCCGAGAGAAATAAAGCCTTTAGAAAATATCAGATTTTAAAAAGTCCAGCTAGTCTCGAATATTACCAGAAATTAAGAAATGATGTCATTTCCGCTATTAGGCGGGAGAAAGCAGCATATCTAAGCTTCAATGAACAACTAAATAGTAACAAGCATCTCTGGAAAGCTGTACATTCGTTGAAACTCAAAACTAATGTAGATAGATCTTTACCTACACAGTTGAAGAATGCCGATGAAGTAAACAATTATTTTTCTTCCGTTTTCACGCCTTCGGGCAATTGCAAGGATCTAGTTGATAAATTTAATAGTACCAAAATTAATGAAAGTGCTAGATTTGAATTTAGTTTTGCTACCCCACAAAATGTGCTAGACATTATTCTGTCCCTAAAATCTAATGCAGCAGGTTCGGATGGTATAACAGTCTCAATGCTGAAGCTTTGCTTGCCTCGAGTATTACTACCCCTGACGCATTTATTGAACTGTTGCCTGGAGGCTGGGTATTTCCCTGATGCTTGGAAACTATCTCTTGTCAAACCCTTGCCTAAATGTAAAAATCCAAAATGTCTCTCAGACTTAAGACCTATAACTTTGATTCCTGTTATATCGAAGATATTGGAGAAATTGATTAAACATCAGGTTTATCATTATTTCTCTAATAATGATTTCTTTCCCAAGTGTCAATCTGGTTTCCGCAGTGGTTTTAGTACAACTTCAGCTTTAGCAAGGGTTTTAGATGACATCATTGCTTCGCTTGATAAGGGAGATGCTTCAGCACTTGTATCATTAGATTATTCTAAGGCGTTCGATAAAATAGATCATGAGCTTTTATGTGCTAAATTGAAGTTTTTTGGTTTTTCAGACATACCTCTAATGTTTTTTATAACATATCTTTCAAATCGTAAACAAGTAGTAGAGATAGACAACACTATATCTAGTCCGATTGATATAACATCAGGTGTCCCTCAGGGTTCAGTTTTAGGGCCCTTGTTGTACTTAATTTATACTATAGACTTGGGTAGCTCTGTGAAAAACTCTTCTGTGATGTGCTATGCCGATGATACACAGATATATAAAAGCTTTAATAGTAACACTTTGCATACCTCAATCAATGAGCTTAATGATGATTTGGAGGCAATAGTAGGATACTCAAATGGTAATAATCTTAAGCTCAATAAGGATAAGTGCTCAGTGATGCTTTTTTGTCCTGCTGTCAAACGTAACACTGTATTGAATTCTCTTGATGTAAAAATCGACAAGGAGCGTCTAGCTGTCGTAAATACTACAAAAAATTTAGGGTTGATTATACTTTACGGTTTAAGGAGCATGTTTCGTCTATCTTAAAAAAATGTTATGCAACGTTGAAGTGTTTTTATGTCAATCGCTCTATTTTGAATTTTAAAGTTAGAAAAAAGTTATGTGAGGCTATTATATTTCCAAGCTTATTTTACTGTAGCACTGTGTTCTATCATTGTCTTGATTCTATCACAAAAGCAAGACTCCAAAAACTCCAAAATACTTGTTGTCGATTTGTATTTAATCTCAAGAAGTATGATCATGTTTCCTTAAAGAGATTTCAGCTTGGTTGGATGTGTATAGAAAATGCTTGCAAGTACCATATAGCAGTGTTTACACATAAGATCATATCTTCTAGATCCCCCTTATATCTTTATGAGAAATTTGTTTTCAGACGAAATAATTCAGACATTGATTTCAGACACAAAAAAAGACTAGAGATCCCTATGTATAAAACAACTTTATTTCGTAGTTCATACACTTACAATGCTATCCTGATTTATAACGAATTAGATGACAATATAAAGGATTGGCCAGTAAACAGATTTCGTAAGCATGTGAAACAGATTTATTTGTCATTGTAGTAATTGTGGAAAAGTTAGTTTTTAATTCTTACATTTAATTTTATTTTACGTAATATATGTGTGTATATATGTATGCTAGGAAGCTATCAAGCTCGTTGTTTTGAAGCGTCTTTTGCTTGTCAAAGTTTCCTTTGATTGAGTGTTTCAATTTAGTATTTGGGTAGGTTAAGTAGAGTAGCCAAGAGCTAGACTTCGCCTACGTAGAGGTCACATTATGTTGTAGTGTATATAATGTGCCTAATAAAGACATTTTATTATTATTATTATTATTATTATAAATAGTATGAACGAAGTGAAAAACGTTAATAAGTACAATATTTGCATATATTGTCCATATAAGTAGCATATTTTTATAGCTTGAGGTGTAAAATTGAAAGTTTCACGATATATCGTACTCAAGTCAGCATATCTAATCTGATTTCGATTTCACTAGAGTGTGGTAAATAAGCTTGGCCCATTCTATTTTTTATTATACATGTATGTAGTTAACCTTTATCACAAGAGGAGCTAATTTATCGAAATGAGACAGCACAAAGTGCCATATATCACCATACTCGATCACTGCGAAAGTGAAAACAGCAAGCTGGCTGTTCTGTAATCCATCTATAAATTGACCCACCCTCTCAACTTTTTTGTATAACATTTTACTAGAAAAGCGATATACAAGAGTAGTATGGTCTCCCATAAAATTTATGTGTATTTTTAAATATTAAAAATTGATTTTACGCCCTGCTTATTGTCAGTCAAAATAATAATGCTTTTTTTATTCTAAATATACATATCTGGTTTATTATATTTATATTATAACTAATGAAAATAAGCACGATAAGCATTGGGGTATCGGAAGCGGAGAAAGATACGAAGTCTCTTAAATGAGGAAAAGTTGCGTTTTTAGGTAACTAACAAAATGTCGCTTAAAAAGTAAAAAAGTACTTGAGGAGAGAGACGGAAAAAAAGAATGTTCCCAAAATTATTTTTTCCTACTCTATTTGTATAGGGATTTTAAATTAAGTTGCTCATTAACATTGCCACTTTTTTCTCATCTACAATATAGCATAATCAGAATGCCAATATGACGTTTCGTCTATTATCCTCCACCATCAACTTTAATTTTTCTTATGGACACCATATTGGACTTTTGCACAGATGAATAGAGTTTTCAATTCTGATTACAAAAATGTATAAAGTATCATATATTTATATTGATAAACCTTAGTTATTAAAAAAAAACAGAATTTCCTTGGTAGGCCTTGAAGTTATGAAATAGGCCAACCCAGGAAATTATATTTTTTTAAATCAAGGTTTCATAATGTCCATGATTATATATTTTTGGAATCAGATTTGAAAACTCTATTCATCTGTGCAAAAATCTTATATGGCATCCATTAGAGAACATAAAGTTGATTCTGGAGGACAAGAGACGAAACGTCATATTGAAATTCTAATTATAGCATCTTGTAGAGGAGAAAAAGAGTGCGGAAGCACTTTGAACGTTCTAAGCGGCATTTTGTTAGTATATATATCCAACATTGCGCCCATTTAAGCGACTTCGTATCTCCTACCTTTTGCGAGATCCCAATGGTGAGGGTCGGTATATATACTAAGTGATATATAAATCCGAACACCCAGTTTAAATGGTTTTATTTTAATAAAATTTTGTATAAGTACTTAATGAAGCATAATAAGTAAATGATAAAAATTTCAAAATGATTGCACTGCTTTAAAGCCCTTTGACCTTTAATAATGTGTGGATGCACCCTGATGTGCTACGCATTCTCCAACGCGCCTAGGCATGCTTCTGATCAGGTGGTCAATGTCCTCCTGTGGTATCTCATTCCAGGCAACCACCAACTCCTCTCGAAGTGCTTCTAGAGTCTGAGGAGGACGTTGCAAATTGAGCAATCTCCTACCCATCATATCCCACACGTGCTCAATTGGGGATAAGTCGGGAGATCTTGGTGGCCATGGTAACAATGTGACATCATTATGTTGAAAGAAGTCTATTGTGACTCTTGCAACATGTGGTCGGGCAGTATCTTGTTGGAAATTTGGATCTGCCAGGGTGTCAAGATAGGGTAAAAGATGGGGTTCTAGAACTTCGTGGATATAACGCTGCGCGTTCATGTTACCTCTGATGAAGATTAAAGGTGACCTGGAACCATAAGCTATAGCACCCCAAACCATAACTCCAACAGTGTGATGAACATGTCTTTCAACAAAAAACTGTGGATTCCTCCTTTCACCACGTCGCCTTCTAACCCTGGCACGACCATCGTGCATGAATAAACAAAATCGAGACTCGTCACTAAAGACAATACTGTTCCATTCCTGATCCCAGAGTGACCGTTGTCTGCACCACTCAGGGCGATTACGTCGGTGTTCTCGAGTTAAAGGGAGGACCCAGTGTGGTCGGTATGAAAACAAGCCAAAACTCATTCGTCGGTAAACACTTCGCATGCCAATAGGTCTTCCGTGTTCTGCAAACCATTCATTTGCAAGGGACCTGGTAGTGGAGAAACGGTCCCTTAAGGCCAATAATCTTAGGTGGCGATCTTCACGGTCTGTTGTTCTACGGCGGCGTCCAGTGCCCCTTGCTCTTTGCGTACGGCCTTCTCGAAGCCATGCCTGACAACACCTAACCACAGTGTCTACACTTTTTTGCACTCTAACTGCAATTGCCCGAAAAGAAAGTCCAGCTTCCCGAAGTCCCACTATACGGCACCTATCAAACCCACTAAGTTGACGAAATCGTACAGGTCTCCGTACTCTAGGCATCGTGACCGATCGTAAAGGATGTCAAGAACCAAAATCCGCCAACGTTTATTCTTTACTGCGGCTGAAATATTCATTTTTAGAGCGTTAGTGAATTAAAAAAAAGCAGTATGAAAACCGGAATGTCCA